AATGAACGGGAGAACCCGGGGTGGGGGCCTGAAAGGGAGGGAGGGCCCCGGGCCCCGGCCCACTCAGGCCCAGCCTGCTTGCTTGCTGCGGAGACGGCCACACCCCAGCCTTGGCCTCAGCTGCAGGGAGCCCCCGGCGGCCAGAGCCAAAGTAAGAAAGTGGCTCTTGCAGACTAAGCTGGGGATCCTCTGCCTGTGAGACCCTTAGACACAGACTGAGGTCCCCAAGCCCACCGCCACCCCAAAACTAGCACCCTGCGTCCTAGACAGAGCTCCTCTCCCACCCAGGCTGTTCCTGGGAGCCTGCTCCAGACAGAGTTTTGGGGTTGGAGGTGGGAGTGATGTTCTAAAGATCAGTCAGATATCAGGTTCAGAGACCTTCCCTTAGAGACCGTGACAATGACATAAACAGAGATCCCAAAGGGCACGCAAACTAGATACAAAGAAATCTCTCAGAGACAGAGGGACACAATGAACCCACCCACAGACTCTAAGCCATAGTGTTGGAAACAGATATACGGACACAGGTGAACAGAAACCAAGGCCCAAGCCCCACACAGACTCAGGGGAAACACTCCCAGGCAGCCAGACCCCAGCCAGCCGTCCCCAGCACTGAGATGAGCCAGACCTGTCCCAAAAGAGCCCTTTCCCAAGATACTGCTGAACATAGCGAAGAAAGCAAGACACAGACTCCAGCCACAAAGGAACAAGAGGCCTTCCCTGGACTGAGACTCTCAGAAATCAAGTCGGAAACAAGAAACTCTAGAGATAGGTGTGGACAGACACAACAGGTATGGCTGCAGCCACTGGACTGTGGGCCTCAACCCAGACCTGAGTCCAGATGTGAGCACTGGAATGGGGGCAGGGGGTTCTTCAACCCAGCAGTAAATCAGAACCTGGGAGCTTTTTTCAAAATACTGATGCCCAAGTCACCCTCCCCTCAGTCCAATTCAGTCAGAAAGGGCCCAGGCATCAGTATTTTTAAAAAGCTCTCTGCAGACTTCCCTGGCAGTCCAGTGGTTAGGACTCCATGCTTCCACTGCAGAGGGCATGGGTTGGATCCCTGGTCAGGGAACTAAGATACTGCATGCAGATCGATCCCATATGCCGCGTGTCACAAAAGAAAAAAAAAAAAATGCCAGAGAGAGAAATGAATAGATCCTTACATAAATATTTATATAATACATTAGCGGGGGGAAAAAAAAGCTCTCTGGGTGGTTTTAAGGCACAGCCTGAGAACAGAGACCTGGACACTCCCTGAGGCACAGAGGCAGCAAGGGGCAACCTTAGCTCCCCAGAAGCTAGCGGAGAGGCCGAGTCCAGACACTCTCCTCAAAGTCAGGCTGCCACCTAAGTGGCCAGTGATCTGGAAGCTAGATTATGGAGACCCTGCCTGGGACGACCAAAGCAATGCAAGCCTTTTCCGCACCTGAGTGCCAGCCTAGGGCTCCAGCTCCCTCTGGGCACGACTAAGGGCCTCAGGGGCTTGAAGAACACAGTAGGTCTTCCCTCAGAAAAATGGCAGGACAGTTGGCCCAAGAGATGAAAGTGGATCCAGAGACTAAAGACCAACGATGGGAGAAGAGAACTGAGGAAACCATAATGCCAAGGTCTTGGAGGTACATCCCCACACTCACATCCCCTCAGCAAAACCCTCTTAGTCCTGATCAAGGTCTGTGTCCAGCTGGGTGGCTATCTGAGCAATGAGGTAGCCTCAGCAGGAAGCAGGCTTCCCCTGGGGCCTAAAACCACATCCTCAGAAGAAGCCTGGGAACTCAACCATATCCCAGGGCTCCAGGAACCAGCGCATAATTACTTATTAAACTCCTGGGCTTCCCTGGTGGCGCAGTGGTTAAGAATCCGCCTGCCAATGCAGGGGACACGGGTTTGAGCCCTGGTCCGGGAAGATTCCACATGCCACGGAGCAACCAGACCCGTGCGCAACTACCGAGCCTGCACTCTAGATCCCGTGAGCCACAACTACTGAGCCTATGTGCCACAACTACTGAAGCCTGCGTGCCTAGAGCCCACGCTCCGCAACGAGAAGCCACCGCAATGAGAAGCCCGCGCACCGCAACGAAAAGGAGCCCCCGCTCGCCGCAACTAGAGAAAGCCCGCGCAACGAAGACCCAATGCAGCCAAAAATTAGTAAATAAAAAATTTAGAAAACAACTCCTATACGCCAAGGGTGGCCTGTATTGAGACACAGAAACCGGGACAGGACCCTACTTGGTGGGTGAAGTGGCTGGGGTACTACCACAGGAAGGTAAGCAGAGACACCACACAACAGGGGTAGCCAGCTCCAAAGTGTTTAATTCCAACTCCAGAAAGCTGAGCCAGGCCAAGTGCCTGGGGCCGTGGGCGGTCCTCCATCTTGTGGGCCCCATGCCTCGCCCTGGCTTCTCACTCTTGAGCCTTCAGATCATCAGCCCGGGGTCTCGGTCCACCCTGTCATCGGTCCTTGACGGGGACCCCTTCTGCTCGGCCTCCTCCTGTGCCGCTCTGAGGGAGAACTCCTCACAGCCAACTCATCCTCGGGTCTCCTCCCAGGGGACATCAACTGTCGAGGCTGGGACCCTCGCCCCCCAATTCTACCCCCATCACCACAGCCAGGAAGGCCTCAATTAGGGGCCCCGCCTCGTCACCTGCTGCCTCCACAAGCCCCACCAGGGCCAGGGCCCGCTTCCGTGGGCACTGCCCCGGCCCCAGGGTCCAGCGAGCGCAGTGGGCAGCCAGCCGGGGCCGGCCCAGGCGGAAGACCTCACCCACTGACTCTGGGCCGCCCTGGGGTCCCAGGTGGATGCGGCCCACGGCTTCTTCCAGCTCCTCCTCCAGCCCGGGCAGCAGGAAACGGCCAGCAGCTTCCAGGGCTTCCTCAGCCTCTGAGCCCAGCAGGCGCTGGCCCGGCGGAGGGACGGGCCCCAGGGCAGCTCCGCAGCCCCGGCAGCCGTGCAAGTAATGCAGGACAGGCCAGGCTGCGCTGGGTGACAGGCCCCGCAGTGGCACTAGGTCCATGTGGGCTTCGGCAAAGCTGCCAGCTAGCAGGGCCCGAAAAAAGGGGGAGGCGGTGGCTGAGGCCGCTCGCTGGGCAGGGAGCTGGAGGCCTGAGTCCAGCAGGAAGTGGAGGTCAGGGGCCGCCGTGGGGGCGGGGCCCAGCAGAGGCTCATAGAGGCAAGGGGAGGGCGGGTCCAGGTCCAAGGGGATGGCAGGTAGGAGGGCCCGGCTCACAGTGGGAGACACCAGGCCCTGGAGGCAGGAAAGGGAGTCCGCGGCAAA